ATATTAATTTAAAAAAATAAATAACATTGAATAAATATTGTATAAATATTGTCATATTTAAAAATTAGTATAAAATAATTTTATGTTTTTTTAAATATTCTTAAACTACTATATATCTATCATATTGTCGAACCTCTATAATTTTCGTTTGTAATATTTTTGCATAAAATGTTTCCTCTCCTTATAATTAATTACCTTAATAACAAGCTATTGATTATTATTAATAATTTTTTTTACCTGAAAAGGATGAAATCCGGACATTGACCTCGTATTGTAATTTTAATTATAAATAATGCTCTAGTAATTCTATGTAATATTATGCTTAGTTTTTATAAAACAATAGTCGTATAATAATATTCAAGAATAGTTATTCGATGACAAATGAAAAGTGGTAACGTAATTTTAAGAAAATGAAATATTCAAACACATCTTGTATTACAAAATTTTATTAATATAAAATTATAAAAATTTATACTAAAAAAGTATTTGAAGCTTTTTGTGATAATGTTACAGACTACGTGAATAAATTGAAGTATTTATTAATATAAATTTCAACTTCTAAATTTAAATTCTTTATTAATACGAATTCAAAATTTTCAATTAAAAACTTTAGAGTTATTATGCATGCCTGCAATAATTTTCCTAAAATTTCTTATATATTCAAAATTTCAAATACAATATTTAAACTATCATAAATTTATTGATTATAGAATATGAAATCACAGCGTATTACTTTTCAATTTCCAATATTAATACATATATATATATATATATATATATATATATATATATATTATTTAAATAAATAATATATATATAAATACATATATATATATATATATATATGTATAAATTTTATGTTTACTTCTTTGAAGTTAATAAATGATTTAATACTTTCAAGACGAATAATGAAATGTATAATAAAAAATAAAAATTTATTTATATAATCTTATTTTCCATGAAATTTATTTGATAATCATTATTTGAAATTAATTTAGATAATTTACATATTTAATTAATGAAAACTTTTAATGAATATAGACAAGTGACAATTAATTAAATACACAAATTATACATTTATTATTCACTAAAATATATATCATCATATTTAAAACTAAATTATATTTATAATATTATTTTATTATTAATTGTCTATTGCTCTTTTCCAGTAATTATTTTCTGGTTGTCTGGAATGAAAATGATAAATTGAAGGATTAAACATTTTTAGTTATAACTCTTTCTCGACGACTTGACTAGAAAGCTAAAGTAACTTAAATTTTTAATAATTCTCATCCAAGTTTTTATAATTATTCTAGTCACTATTCACAGAAATAAAGTAGTTTACGTTGATGGTATTACACACGAGAAAAAAATCAGAGATACATTAAGCAATATTATTGGAATAAAGTTAAAGATCTTGTAAACAAGATGACTGAATAAAGAGCACAGTCATTATTTATATTGATTTCTTTATACAATTTCATTTTTGAGATATAGTATATATATATGTGCGTGCGTGCGTGTGCGCGCGCGCGTGTGTGTGTGTGTGTGTGTGTGTGTACTTTAGTCCGTATCTTTCCCAATCTTCGTTATACGAAATAACGTTATTTTATATTTCTCAATTCCTAAAAAAAAATAATAATAATAATAGTAAAAAAAAAAAAAAAGATCGATTTAATTCGGTATTTATGATATATTAATTAATTAAAATTAATACAAATCATTATACATAATTTTATATCATATTTGTGATGTATTTTGAAAATTGTGTAATAAGCGCCATCTATCCAAGACTGTATTAACCCTACTCCGTTACCCAATTCGGGAAATAAAGATTTCTTTATTATTATGAATAAATAATAATTAATTTGACAAGTATTTTACCAATTTATTTATTTAAAGTCACTTGTACCTATTATACAAATTGGCATTGAAGCCATAAAAATATACAATAAGCATGTGCTAAGCAGATGATATACGATTATAATTACATTTTATGATAAATATGTATTATAAATTGTTATTGGTACTTTAAAAAACGAAAATATACCGAACGAGTTGGACTGATTTTTTTTTATTTTCTTTTTCAGTAAATTTCAGCTTTTAAAATAAAATAATATTACGATTTATGTACGAATTCGAAAAAGCCGACTACATGAATGACGTATGAATGTATTTGTACAGACGCATTATGCAAATATAGACGTTTTTAAAGATGAATTTATCCATTATCATAATGTAAATTGAAAGAACAATTTATTTATTTAATGATGCGACGAGCTTAAATTTCACGTACGATCTCATGTCATAATACGTAAGAGATAATTACTTTTCGAAATAATCCGCAACGGATTGTTTACTTTTTATCCGAGCCTATCATTTATTATAATTATTGACACTAAATATAATGATTTTTATGTATTTGTGATGATTTATCATATATTATTTAATTATAATACTTACCAAGTAATATTCTAATCGTTATGAAAAAGTCATAATCAATGATTTTTCTTATAATTACAATTTCATTCGTACAACGAAAATTATTTTATGGCTAAAACTTCATTCCTATTATTAAAAGCCTAAGATTAAAAGGTATGAAAGCACTTGATATAATCGTAAATAATTACATTTATTTATTTGTCAATTTTACAATGTAACAATATGATACGTTGAGTAGAGAATTATTCTGTTTTACTCGTATCACTTCTAATAAAGGCGATTAGTATGTAAGTGATTTATAATAATAATATAGTGGGTACAGTTTGTTGGTCATAACGCTTTCTTGACATTTTATTTTATTTCAATTTTTTTTTCTTCATTTTTTTATTGTTTTTTTTTATTTTTTATTTTGTTTATTCTTTAAATGATAAACGTTTAGTACATCGAAACTTAATAACTTTTTGTCTTTTAAATTTGTGTGGCTGTTGTTCGTGTCTTCTATTTTTTAACTTGTCTGCGTGTCTTCCAGTTCGTAACAAATGTCGTAACATGTTACACGTTTACATTGCAAGATAGACATTATTAGATTTATTGATGGTACTCACTCATGCGAACGTAAGGTCACAGAATATTATTGCCGCGTGTCTTCTTCGTTCTTATCACAAATCATTCTCTTCCACTGTTCGAAACAATATTCTTCATGAATACCACAAACAATATATGAATTTTATTGGTAATTTTTCCATTTTATATATCGTGACCATCGTAACACAAGTGGGCGGCCAATGCGAATTTCAATTATCTAATGTACATAATACGTGTCAGCTAATAAAATGAAACGAGAGTACTCTTTAAAAAAAATTCCTTGTCGTGTACATGTATTCATGTATATGTGTACAAAGTGTTTAACGCCAAGGTTGTATATATATATATATATATATATGTTTTCATGTGATGCGTGTGTACGTGTCAAAGTTTTAAATAAAAATAAAATGACTGTATGTATAAATGCGAAACATGTTTGCGGGGAAACATGTTGCGCGATCGTAGTTTCTTATTTACTTTTATCAACAGTTGGCGATTAATCGCTCGACTTTCCGATTGTTTTATATTCATAATATTCATATACACAAAGCGAAAAACAATAACATTAATAATCCATAACATCAAGACGGTATCTGTATTTATTTTTATTTTTTGTTTTTTTTTTGTTTTTTTTTTTGTTTTGTTTTCTTGTTTTTTGTTCTTTAAATCTTATAATTTCACCGTTCGTTTGTTTTATAACAGTTAAGGTGTACCTTACAATTAGTACATGCATTATTATAGTAAAAGACGATTTGATATTTTAATCCATTGAAATCAGGTAATTCTCATCCATTCCACGAAACCCTCGCTAATAAAAAATATTATTCTCTCCCTCGCATTTTATTTACGCTACCACGTGTAACATCTTTATAAGAAAATATTCTTATTAATATGTATATCATAAAACATTTATATATTGTGTGCATTATATTTAATGATGCATTGAGTGTGTCTGTGTGTGCGTGTTCGTGTGTTCGTGCGTGTTCGTGTGTTCGTGCGTGTTCGTGTTTTGTGTGTGTGTGTGTGTGTGTGTTCGTGTTTTTTGTGTGTGTGTGCGTGTGTGTGTGTGTAGACTTCGACCATCGACAAAAATATTCTTTTACAGTATCGACAAAATGTACGTGTCGCATATTTTCTATATAATAATACGTGACTACAACTATAAAGCATCGAAACTATTACACAGTCCCAATTAATAATGTAGGGATGAAATATTTGCTCGAGTTGGGTTTTAAGGACTTTTCTAAAACTTTTCAATTTTTCTTCATAATCAGTTTCTCCGCATAGCAATTGCCTTATTTTTTCTAACATTGAAACGTGAAATTCTATATGTATAATGACAGCTCAACCAAAATCATTGAATAAAAAAACTTATACACCTGAACAGAAACGAGCACCCAACTCAGATCTCAACTTTCAACTCGACTCCATACGATGTCATAACTTACCATATGCTCACCTACATCGTCACTTCAGATCTCACACCAATCTTATGGGTATTCCCATAATATAATATCATTAATATAACGAAATTGAATGCACAGTTACTGCAAATTAAATGAAACGTCGACGAACTTGTTTCAAACGAGGAAGTTGTTTAAAACCCAAATTAAGTTGAATTCGATTTCAAAAACTATTCACCAAAGAATTCAGCAGAGCTACGACTCAGCCCTCCCTTTCAAACGCCACCGAAACTCCGATGAATAATACCGCCGAGGATTGTTGCTTTGGTAGCGAGGGCTTTTACATACAATTAGGATATCACACTCACGCACACACGCACGTACACGCCGATGACATAATCGCCTGTTTCGCTTGTCTTTCTTTTACTCTACTCGTCGCAAGGTATACTGTGTGTTGCACACGCACGCGCCCGCGCGCGCGCACCTACACACATATATGGGATGGATGATGGGTATATATATATATATATATATATATATATATATATAAACGCATACGTATATGGGGGTGTGCGCGCGCGTAGTACATGTGTAAGTGTACAGAAAGCATAATGAGATTTACGAGAGCTTCTGCTTGGCGCACTCTGGACAAATGATGTCCTCGCCGTCGGTGATGAATCCGCGACCAACCAATGATGTCTTGCAGCCCGCGCAAATAAAGCAGTCGTTGTGCCAATGTCTGTCTTCAAAAGAGATGAAACGTGTGCCGCCGATGCCTGCAATCGAATGGTAAATTAATGTTACTTTAATTGCTTTCTCTCGCTCTTATCGTAATACACGCGCGACGCTTTGTTTATTAAAACGATAAAAACGATTAATCCACTACTCTCTTAGCGAAATTCTTTTACGTACAATTTTCATCCTTTTTTTCTTTTTTCTTTTAACCAACTTCAAATTCATCTATATATATATATATATATATATATATATATATAAATATTAATATAAATGTATATATATGAATATTAAGATGAATATATATATATATATATATAGTAATAAAAGAAAAGGGGGCTATTAGGTTGCCGCGGGCGTTTTCTTGATAATAAAGGAGCAAAACTCGGCGTAAATTTTTAATTCTACAATATAAAATTTCATGTACACATACGATCAGAAACTCTACATTATATGATATTTCATATATGCCTATAAACGCGTAAAAGTAAGAATTTTGTTTTTTCTTTATTGTATTTGAATAGACATTAATAAACTATGAATTGTAAAAATAAATTAGATAATTCTGGGGCCTTTTAATTAATTAATCAAAATTTGGCAGAGCATAAGAATAGCCTAATGAATAACCCTTTATTGGCATAAATTCAATTAAAACTTTGCCCATATCTTAAGTTTTATTCGCTCGGCTCTGAACATTACATCGGCCTACAAACTCATAAATGACATAGTATTTCTCCTCTAAACTATGCAAGTTGTTTTCATCAGCCCTTAAACTCAATTGCACAGAGCCGAGTGCATTCGGTACAATGAGCCCTCTTTCGCTAAGTAGCTAGCTGATTTGTCATTAAGTCGTGCCAATAATCCAACCGTCCACCGACAAAAGCCAATCGACACTGTCCAGGATATGTTCGTTTGACAGGATATGTGTACTGACCGGTAATGGGTTTCGTGCACGCGGTGCACCTCTTGGCGAAAAGCTCGCCAAAACATTCGGCACAGTATGGCTTCTCGTCGCGCGACGTGAATCGCTGTCCGGCGAGAGACTGATTGCAGTGGCTGCAGGTGAAGCAATCCCTGTGCCAGGGTTCGTTCTTGTACGTCACGCCGCCGCTGGTGATGATCTGCGCAATATCGTTATTCGCAATCAGATTCGATTCAATAGTTTTAATGATTAGCGGTATAGGGGCGGGGACGGTGATGAGGGCGCGCGAGTGGGGCCAGATTGTTGGATTGAGGAGTTATGTGAGAAGATCGAGGAGCGCGCGTCGGTGACATTAGGAGGAATGTTGATGATTTTATGATTTCTCCGTAAGTGGCTTTAATGTCACGCAGTCACTCTTAGCGCGCCCTCGTCATTTTATTTTATTAGTCATCGATGCTGAATTGAGAAAGAGTTTGAAGTTCAATTCCTACCTTGTTACACTTCACGCATCGGGTTGCGAATTTGTCCTCGTAGCATCCAGCGCAATAGATTTCTTGTTCACGTGGGATGAAGCTCTTCGTTCCAATTGGATTTTTACAGACAACGCAACAGAAGCATTTCTCATGCCACTGTCGTGTCTTGTATTCCATCTTCTTAGTGCCTGAAAATTTACATGAAAATTAATCGATTTAATGGGAGGACTTTTGGCGTATCATTATTTACCGGTTGTGCAACCGATAACATAAGTGATAAAATATTAATTTGCCCAGATAAACAATGTGCTTATGAACGTGAGATAAAAAACTGGTCGATATAATTTTTGAATGATATTTATTTAAATTTTTATAATTTTAGACTCATGTGACATTGAAGCGATGTCAATATGTCTAAAAATAGCATTCAATTGATAAATCTAGGGAACTAGAAAAGAGTTTAGCGTAAAAAGATATTTTTATAAAATTAAATTAATAAATCCTTATCCATTGCGTTATTTCAATGTATCCATATTATAGGAGCCTAGGGACATCTAACTAATTAATATTATAAAAAGCTCTCTAAGCACATATCGATATTTTTCTATCAAATTGTACGAAAGATTCATTTTGATTATTAACTATTCTAAGAGAAAGAAATCTTGAATCCCCTTGACATTTACATTTCAATTATGGACAATTTTGTCGCACATAAGCGCGTCATAGATTATTTGAGATTAATTTGAGAAGGCCTTGGGGGCTGGAGGGTCGGGGGGAGGTGGGCTTAGTCGCGGAGACCGAGAAAATTGTGCGCGCGTGTACGTATACGGGAAACCGCATACATTAATTTGATCGTCAAGACGACTATGTACAATTGTAATTCTATTGCTTTACCTTTGTCACGTTGATATAAGTATACCATTTATATTTTCAACCACAAACGCAACGACTACATTATGCGCACATATAATTTAATAATATCCTACCATCTCTATATTTGACGCTCAATCGCTTATTTAATAAAAACGATTCAGTGCTAGGAGCATCTTAATATACAAATCAATCAATTGAGTTAAGGTAAATGAAGTCAAATGGAAGCTTTTATAAGAGAAATTGGTAATGCTGTCTTTTATCGAATTTTGTAATTAGAAATCACGTATAGAACGTGATATTCATATCAAAATTATAATTCTTGCTAATTGCTATTGAATGAAAATTTTAATACATAAATTCTACCGTTCAACAGCTTCCAATTGTATTAAATATCTCAAGAATTACTAATAATCATGAATTACACACACATACATATATATATATATATATATATATATATATATATATATATTTTTATATTATAAAAGCTATTTTTCAAATTCTATATTTCAATATTTTATAATAATAATAATAATAATAATTATTATTATTATTATTATTATTATTATTATTATTATTATTAATTTAAAACTTAATACCAATTTATTAGATTTCTTATAAATAAGATCCAACTATAAATAATTAACATGATATTGATGGACAATGAATAAAAAAACTCTTGTTACTATTTTTACGACACAAATAATTTACCAAAACTTATTTATACATAAATTAAATAAATGTGATTAGTTAATTAATATTTACATATTATGTAAACTCAAAAATTAAGCTTTTTAATTTATTTTAGATAAATTTATTTTATTAATAGGATATTTTCGATGCAGATGATGAATGTTTCATAAATGTTTCATAAACTATTAAATTTATCCAACCTTACAATAAAACATATTGGCTCAAATACAGTAATTCAAACTTCAAAGTTACAACAATCAACTCAATTGACCACTAATATTCGTACGTATTGCAAATGATATTTATTAAATATAGTTTATAAATTTGTCACGCTTTGGTGAACTTCCTCAAAAGATAGCCAATAATCACTTATTTCATACTATTCTTCATTTGGTTCTCCTCATTCCTTTTATTTCCATTGAATCAACAACTATTTCGATTCCAGAACTATTGTCCGATGATTAATAAAAAATGAACAGTAGATGTAAAATAAAATAATTACGGTTTTATTAAATTTATTAGATCATTACTAATTTTATGCAATAATATTAAATCGTGTACTTCAAATATTTCTACAATTATAATAATCGATAAAGTCCAAGTAATTGAGAAAAAAAAAAACTTCCATGTATTACAAAACTTAGGATTTTTTTTTTTTTTTTTGGGCTCCACGTCGTAATAATTTCTGACGTAAAACACTTACTTGATCTAAGCAATTATATAATTTTCATATGATAATGATATATAATTTAATATTTAATTGTTAATAAAAAGTGACCTTACATTTTAATTAATTAGCCAGTGATGTAATAAAAATTTACAAAGAGATAATTTTAAGTGGCTGATGGCAATTTTGTGATACACGTTTACCGGTAAACTATGGGGGTAAACTTTTATAAAACTTTTGTTGAACATTTAATAACTTAATCAAATTCTATAAACATACACCGAATTATTCGATTTACGAGAAATAAATTGATAACGTTTTATTTTTCTTGAATATTTGCTACGTCGAAAGGAACAACGTAAGACAATTTGCGTCGTTAAAATATATGTCCATAGGTTATTTACATATTGAAACTATTTTCTTCTAGATAAAATACACTTTTTGATAAGCAATAATTTAAATTAAATTCGATGAAATTATGTATGTATTTGTCAAATAATTATGTTATTATTTATCTACAAAATAAATAATAAATTAACTGATATTCAACATACTCTGTTAATCGTAATTTTGCAACTTTTATTTAAAAACATATTGCTTTATTTAATAATGTCTATTATTGAAAATGTAATATAACGACATAATAATATATTTTAAAAACTTTGAAAATAATTGATTATTAATAATGACTTCATATTAATTATCTAATAAAGTAAAATAACATTACATGGTAATAGTTACATTACTAATGAAATAATATGTAAAATTTTTGTAGAATATTAAGAAAATTTAGTTAAAATATTTATGTAGTTGAAACATATTCATTAAAATTAAATGTATTTAAGTTTTTATAATTCAATGTCTTGACATTTATATTGGTTTATAAAAAGAAAAAAGGAAAAAAAAAAGAAAAAAGAAAAAAGAAAAGAGAAATAATGAAAAATGAAAAATGAAAAATTGACATACTTTGTTTAATAATTAAATGTTTAAATGTTGTGACTTTGGTTCGTTCGTATCTAACTCTATAGAATAAATTCGAGCGTATATTAAGAAAATTTTATTATTTCTTCAATGAATACTATGCTTATCTAATATTTGTAATCTTTAATTCGACCATGAGAAAGTATAAATTTCACATTTTCATTTTCATTTTATAATTCAAATTGACGCTAAGGAAAAATATCCTTTCGAATAAAGAAATTGAAGATGATTTTGAATGATTCAGAAGGCTCTTTGTAATCGTAGGCGTCCTATAGACTTTTAACCTTACTTAAGTTTCTCCACTTCTTTAACCTGAGGCGCGATTATCTTATAGAAGAGTTTGGAAGACAAGATGAATTGATGCTATTCGGACGTAAAGAAGTTTATAAGAAGCGATGATCTCAGATGCTGGCCTTTTTCGCATATATACAGCATTTGTTCGCGTCTGCGCTTTTCAACCATCTTTAAAGCGATTAGGATACAAAAAACTTCCGGAACGTCACTCAAATCATATCTTTATAAAAGTGCCTTTTCTACGTATGTGCTACGAATGAATTATTTATTCATTTATTCTGCATTGGAAACAATTATTTCTCCAACACCTATGTAATCCATGGCATTTACGAACTTTTAAAATACAAAGTAACACTATAATTACTCGTTAAATAGAATATGAAAATTAATTATTGCTGTAAAGCTTATAATTAAAATTTATCTCGATGTAAAGCTAAAAAATTAATCGAAAAAAAAAAAAAACAAGAATCAAGTAACGTAAAAAAAAATAATGAAAATAATTATAAAATTTGTATCCATACAATTTTTAAATACAATATTGAATTAGGCCAGTAAATATAGCAAACAAAATATGTTTCAATTGGCATCTTAAAAAAATCTTCTGTACTTGAATGAATTTACATAGAAATACTAATAATAATAATAATATTCCCTCCTTGCTTCACTACTCCATGAGTAGCAAGAAGAAAAAAAAGAAATAAATTATTAGCTCGCACATGAAGATTTATATTTATATCAATATTTCTTTACAACTCAAATAGGATGACTCGAGAGAAGTTTGATAAAAAAAAATACATTTTTGAAGTATATGAAGATTTATCATAACTGTAAATAGTTATGACACGATGCTAATAATAATCAAAATGTAACGAAATTTATCATTTATCTTTATTCGCTTGTAAAAGAAAATTTATTTACTCGGATGTATTTAATTAAAATGTATTTTTTTTTTTCATCACATAACACGTTTATCTAAAAAATAATAAGTATATATTAAATTATATGTAATTTTATAATAAGATGTAATATATTGAAAATACACTTGATTGGAAAATATTTTCTGCACGAGTAATGGGAATTTAAATAAAATTTCTTTCGATAATGTTGATTGTGAGATTACGTAGACGAATATTTATGAAACGATATTACTTAGTGGTAGAAAAATTCAGCAACAGAGATGATAAAAGAATTAGGAATTTTGATAATATTTTTAAAATGAAATTTCTCATCCATTGTTAATTATATATTTTAACTTTATATTTTCTTATAGTATCAAGTGTCTTTCTTTGACTCGTGTCAAACGTTCGAAAAATGTTTAACATTCATAGTAATAATTATATTTAAATAAAATCTGCAAAACGTTTGAATATTAGTTATGAAGTATTAAATATTAATTATGTGTAATGTTTATTTATGATAAGTTTCCTTAATAATGATAGTCTGCTTCAAACTGTTTAAAAAAATTCTTTATCCTCCTTGAAAATAAAAAGCGAATAGCGTTTGAGCGACCAATGAGATATAAATAAAACAAACAACCTTGATGATATTATAAAGCGAAGATTTTTCTATTAATTTTTAATTTTTAATCTAAGAAAAAGAAAGTTTAAGCAATGTTTGTGGGGCGTTCGTTGTAATTTCGGTTTACGAGCGCAGATAGCGGCGAACCATCATCACCATTTG